TGGCCCTGTGGCCCCTTTAGCATGGCTCTGTGCCTAATTCATGAAAGCCTTGCACCGGTCTTGGTACGAATGCCGTCATGTGTGCGCCAGATTCAGGTCGTTCTTACTACCGCCGCTTTTAGGATCTGTTACTATGGCTGCGACAGATTGTAAAAGAATTACCGCCAGCTCACAGATAGGCAAAGCCTGCATACCGGAAGGGAGGGGGATGTTTCATGCTGATTATTCCATTATTATATTTGAACATGTTTTACATTTACTTCATTAGTTGCTAGGATGAAGGCCGCTGGCATCCTAGCAACCAATAACCACCAGAGTGAACTGACAGTAGATGGGGGAACTCTGAGGCTAGTTCTCCATTAAGTCTTTCTTGTCTGTGATGGACAGCAAATGGCTTTGGGTAGATTCCATAACTATTATTCAGTCCCATAGCAACTTTGGAATCCACCCAATTTAATCTGTCAATAACGGGCAAGCCGGGCCTGATGGGGGACTATTCTCAAGGCATGTCGATAGAGAACTCTGAGGCTAGTCCTTCATCAGGTCCGCCTTGCCTGTAATAGATAGAAAAAGGCCAAAGCCACTATTCAGTTAATAGCAACTTTGGAATCCACCCAGTTTAATCTGTCAATCACGGGCAAGCTGGGCCTGATGGGGAACTATTCTCAAGGCATGCTGGGTAGCCGGATCCTGATAGGGAACATTGAGGCTAGTTCTCCATCAGGTCCGCTTTGGCTGTAATAAATAGAAAATGGCCAAAGTCACTACTCAGTCCAATAGCGACTTTGGAATCTGCCAACTGCCATCAGCTGTCAATCGTGGGCAAGGTGGACTTGATGGGGAACGCCATGGGTTCCACATCAGGCTCCGCCCACCTGATAACATATTACTGGCTGCTGGGTGGCCGGAGTCTGATGGGGGAACTCTAAAGCTAGTTCTCCATCAGGTCTGCCTTGCCTGTAATAGATAGAAAATAGCCAAAAGCCACTATTCAGTCCAATAGCAACTTAGGAATCCATCCAATGCAATCTGCTGTCAATCACGGGCAAGCTGGGCCTGATGGGGAACTATTCTCAAGGCATGCTGGGTGCCCGGATCCTGATAGGGAACATTGAGGCTAGTTCTCCATCAGGACCGCTTTGGCTGTAATAGATAGAAAATGGCCAAAGTCACTATTCAGTCCAATAGCGACTTTGGAAAATGCCAACTGCCATCAGCTGTCAATCGTGGGCAAGGTGGACTTGATGGGGAAAGCCATGGGTTCCACATCAGGCCCCGCCCACATGATAACATATTAATGGCCGCTGGGTGGCCGGAGTCTGATGGGGGAACTCTGAAGCTAGTTCTCCATCAGGTCTGCCTTTCCTGTGATGAATAACAAATGGCCATGGGTGGATTCCATGGGTTCCACATCAGGCCCCGCCCACCTAACATATTAATGGCCGCTGGGTGGCCAGAGTCTGATGGGGGAACTCTGAGGCTAGTTCTCCATCAGGTCTGCCTTTCCTGTGATGAATAACAAATGGCCATGGGTGGATTCCATAGCCACTATTCAGTTGATTATGAGCTTTGGAATCCACCCACTGGCATCCAATGTCAATCATGGACAAGGAGGACCTGATGGAGAACTAGTCTCAAAGTCCCACATCAGGCTCCGTCTACCCAACAACTCAAAGATTTGCAGTCACTGTGCTTGTTGGATTGGAGGAGACTGATGGGGAACACGCCCTGGTGAAGGGGGAACGTCTGCGCTCCTGAAATGTATTGGCTTTATCATTCTTGGCGTTCTCTGGCCGTTGGTGTGGCGCTCCTTCTGCTTTCTGTGGCGTTTAGGTTTTCTTTATTGTTCCTCATACACACACATATCAAAGCACATAGTAAATCCATAATGACCTTACATATGACCAGGGGCGGACTGACCATTTGGAAACTCGGGTACTGCTGGGTCAGTAGGGGGCCCCATGAGATACCCCTGATACCTTTTCATAGGCTTTTTTGAGTGTGGGCAAGGACACAGGGGCCCCATGATCCCCTATTGCCCGGGGGCCCCATGAGTTGTCAGTCCGCCCCTGCATATGACACAGCCCAGCGGTCACCTGGTCACACCGCAGCAAGGACACTCAGCTCCTTAGCTTCTCTGCCTCTTATTTAAAGGGATACTAAAGTTTTTTTTTTTAAATAAAATAAAAAAAAGTCCTACTTACCTGCCCTGTGCAGTAGTTTTGCGCACAGCTGCCCTAATCCTCTTCATTTCTGGTCCCCTGCTGGTGCTCTGTCTGCTCCCCCTCGAGAAGTGTCCCCAGGGAAAGCTGTTTGCCCTGGGGGCACCGTTACGTGCTCACACCGGAGCCATTGCTCCATGCCTCCATAAAGAAACATACAGCCGCGACTTGGCCCTGCCCTCTCCTCATTGGCTCACTGGCTGTGATTTACAGCAGCGGGAACCAATGGGCTCCCGCTGCTATCTCAGCCAATGAGGAGGGAGAGTCTGCATACAGCTGAGGCAATTATGACCATTTCTGGATTGAAGAGGGCTCAGGTTAGGATTGGGGGGGGGGCTGAAGGGGGGGGGGAGGGGCACTATACACAGATTTTTTTTAACCTTCATGCAGGTAAAAAACCTTGAGCCTTTAGGACCACCTCAAAAAGTACCCCAGATATCAGAAGCTGTAAGCCCGGATAAAGCTCATGCCAAACCACAGCCTCAGTATAAGCCACAAAAGAAAAAAAAGAGGGAGGAACCATAGCGCATTACTGTAAACCAACCGATGTTCATTATGAATTGTACTGACAGAAGGAATAAAATCAAGCCGCATAAAAACTCAGCATGAAACCTGGTCCAGCACGCATGCACGTGAATGTCAATGTCAAAGCCCCCTCCCTATGCGTTTCGTCCCCATAGACTATTGAAAGGAAGAATGTGGAAATGGACTTTCTAGGCACAGCAACTCAGTACACAAAAAAGATACAATCAATGTTCCTTTATTAACATCACATTGTCTCTAATCTCACATTTTGTATGATATCTGTAACGGAACCGGTACCCGACCGCACTTGGATATATTCCGTTATCCCGCAGCTTCCGCTGTCCGAACACCATCCATCCACGGACCACACCCTGAAATCCCTCAGGAAAAAGACAGCACCCAGCTCTTAAGACAGAAAGCCAACTCTTTATTTTAACACAAAACACAGAATATATACAGAGGGCGGGGCAACACAACCAGGAACAGGAAATACATCAGCCCGCCCTATCAGTGGGAAGGGCTACAGGGAACCACCCCAACCAACCCAAGACACAGAACAATGGGATAAAACACATGGCAAAGGATATTGACCAACCCCCACACCAATACACAAACAGTACATCCCATAATAGTCGGCTGGACAGGAAGACACAGCACAATGGGGGGTAGCACATGGAAAACAGACAATGGACAGCCATGTGGCCTAGACAAAGGAACACACACTATACACAAGACTCAGACATTCACATACACACCCTGTACCCCTTAAACAGGCACAGGGTGCCTTAAACATAATGGGAATTTGGGAAGATGATACAGAGGTCCCCCCACCCCCAAAAGTCACTCCCGTCACAATATCATTGCACAATTAGCCCACAGCTAATATCCCATGACCCACCGCCCACATAGAATGATTGCAAAAGATGGTAGCAGTATGGATAGTACCAACAAAGTAATCCTTCAAAGAGGTAGGGGATATTCAGGCTGTGCAGGCAGCACCCGGCATGTTCCGGGGCCACTGTCGCTTCCTCAGGGACTAGCAATATATAAAACTAAACAGTATGCACTGGGCAATGATGAAGTCCCCGGAATGCAAAGGGGCCACACGCAAGGAGAGCAACCTCCAGAGGTCAGGTATGTGGGTGCAGAACCCGGACTAGGGCACATTCTTCAATATTCTATACAGGGACTTTGTTACCTATTGGGGTTCACCTCCTACCACCCGAGGGTCACCCCAACCTTCCAATATATTATCGTCCCCGTAGACGTCGTCCTTAGGGGGAAAGAGCGAGTCTCCATTTATCATGAGACCTGAGATTGTCACTGAGATCAAAAGTGATGGAAACATCCCGAATTCTGAGTCTGTATGAAGGGAGTTGAAGGAAAATCTTCCAACGGTCGCACTTTTTGCGGTGACTTCCCCTCAAATTGGAAACATTTCCTTTCAGTCCAGTTCTAACTATCCCCTACTCTAAAAAAAAAAATATGGCTTTGATAAAAAATTGTAAAAAAAAATGTAATTGACACGAGAATGAAAAGACTGCGTTGCACTTCTGTGCGTTCAGTCTTACGAGAAATGAGAATAAAATGGACCCAAAGGAACTGCAACAAAAAGAGAAAAAGAAATCAGATACAAAAGTAAGGGATCTGCAATAGAGGAAGGGAAGCGAGGACGCCGCGTCGGAATCAGGGCACCACCATCAATCTTTAAAACAAAGTTGGCGCCTGCCTTGTGATGTAATCGGCGTACGCACGGGGAAACCAGCGACTTGTGAACGTTCGCTGCAACGCGACACCCTCTGCTGCGCGCTGTTAATTCCGATAGTAACTGCCGATGAAAGGTAACTGACACATTTTAATAAAGCTTCACATTCAGTGATGTCATACAAATTCCCTCTGAGGCCCCATTCACATATTGCGTATCGGGAACGAGCGTTTGTCGTTGCACAACAACCACATGGAAGAAAAATATATTGTAAAAATATTCTTCCCAAATATACTGACATATATCTGAAATACTAAAATTTGGGGCCGTATTCAATATATTTAAAAATATATATATATACTGTATGTTGAAATGCTTTGGAATGTTTTTAATATATTACAAACTATATGAAAAATATTTTTTTTAAATATATATTTTTTAAATATATTTTTCAGATTTTATTTAAGATATAAAAAAAGTCATTTTAACCACTTCCAGTCCGGACACTTTCCCCCCCCTTTCCAGTCCGGACACTTTCCCCCCCTTCCAGTCCGGACACTTTCCCCCCCTTCCAGTCCGGACACTTTCCCCCCCTTCCCAGTCCGGACACTTTCACCCCCTTCCAGTCCGGACACTTCCCCCCCCATTCCAGTCGGACACTTTCCCCCCTTCCAGTCAGGACACTTTCACCCCCCTTCCAGTCCGGACACTTTCCCCCCCTTCCAGTCCGGACACTTTCCCCCCCCCTTCAGTCCGGACACTTTCCCCTCTTCCAGTCCGGACACTTTCCCCCCCCTTCCAGTCCGGACACTTTCCCACCCCCCTTCCAGTCCAGACACTTTCCCACCCCCTTCCAGTCCAAACACTTTTCCCCTTTCCAGTCCGGACACTTTTCCCCCTTCCAGTCCGGACACTTTCCCCCCCTTCCAGTCCGGGGCACACTTTTCCCCCCTTCCAGTCCGGACCTTCCCCCTTTCCAGTCCGGACACTTTTCCCCCCTTCCAGTCCGGACACTTTTCCCCCCTTCCAGTGTCCGGACACTTTTTCCCCCCTTCCAGTCCGGACACTTTTCCCCCCCTTCCAGTCCGGACACTTTCTCCCCCCTTCCAGTCCGGACACTTTCCCCCCCTTCCAGTCCGGGCACTTTCCCCCCCTTCCAGTCCGGACACTTTCCCCCCCTTCCAGTCCGGACACTTTCACCCCCTTCCAGTCCGGACACCATTTCACCCCCTTCCAGTCCGGACACTTTCCCCCCCTTCCAGTCCGGACACTTTCCCCCCCTTCCAGTCCGAACACTTTCCTCCCCTCCAGTCGGACACTTTCCCCCCCTTCCAGTCCGGACACTTTCACCCCCCTTCCAGTCTGGACACTTTCACCCCCTTTCCAGTCCGGACACTTTCACCCCCTTCCAGTCCGGACACTTTCACACCCTTCCAGTCCGGACACTTTCTCCCCCCTTCCAGTCCGGACACTTTCCCCCCTTCCAGTCGGACACTTTCCCCCCCTTCCAGTCCGGACACTTTCCCCCCCCTTCCAGTCCGGACACTTTCCCCCCCCCTTCCAGTCCGGACACTTTCCCCCTCTTCCAGTCCGGACACTTTCCCCCCCCCCCTTCCAGTCCGGACACTTTCACACCCTTCCAGTCCGGACACTTTTTCCCCCTTCCAGTTCCGGACACTTTCCCCCCCTTCCATCCGGACACTTTCACCCCCTTCCAGTCCGGACACTTTCCCCCCCTTCCAGTCCGGACACTTCCCCCCCTTCCAGTCCGGACACTTTCCTCCCCTTCCAGTCCGGACACTTTCCCCCCCTTCCAGTCCGGACACTTTCACCCCCTTCCAGTCCGGACACTTTCCTCCCCTTCCAGTCCGGACACTTTCCCCCCCTTCCAGTCCGGACACTTTCCTCCCCTTCCAGTCAGCCGGACACTTTCCCCCCTTCCAGTCCGGACACTTTCACCCCCCCCTTCCAGTCCAGACACTTTCCCCCCCTTCCAGTCCTGACACTTTTCCCCCCTTCCAGTCCGGACACTTTCCCCCCCTTCCAGTCCAGACACTTTTCCCCCCTTCCAGTCCGGACACTTTTCCCCCCTTCCAGTCCGGACACTTTTCCCCCCTTCCAGTCCGGACACTTTCACCCCCTTCCAGTCCGGACACTTCCCCCCTTCCAGTCCGGACACTTTCCCCCCCCCCCTACCAGTCCGGACACTTTCCCCCCCTTCCAGTCCGGACACTTTCCCCACCTTCCAGTCCGGACACTTTCCCCCCCTTCCAGTCCGGACACTTTCACCCCCCTTCCAGTCCGGGACACTTTCACCACCCTTCCAGTCCGGACACTTTCCCCCCCCTTCCAGTCCGGACACTTTCTCCCCCTTCCAGTCCGGACACTTTCTCCCCCTTCCAGTCCGGACACTTTCACCCCCTTCCAGTCCGGACACTTTCACCCCCCTTCCAGTCTGGACACTTTCCCCCCCTTCCAGTCCGGACACTTTCCCCCCCTTCCAGTCCGGACACTTTCACCCCCTTCCAGTCCGGACACTTTCCCCCCCTTCCAGTCCGGACACTTTCTCCCCCTTCCAGTCCGGACACTTTCACCCTCTTCCAGTCCGGACACTTTCACCCCCTTCCAGTCCGGACACTTTCACCCTCTTCCAGTCCGGACACTTTCACCCCCTTCCAGTCCGGACACCTCCTTCTCCCCTTTCCAGTTCCGGACACTTTCACCCCCTTCCAGTCCGGACACCTTCTCCCCCTTCCAGTCCGGACCTTTCCCCCCCTTCCTGTCCAGGCCAATTTTCAGCTTTCAGCGCTATCACACTTTGAATGACAATTGCGCGGTCATGCAAACACTGTACCCATATGAATTTTTTAGGCATTTTTTTTGAGACAGATAAAACTTTATTTTGGTGGTATTTATTCATCACTGGGATCTTAATTTTTTTTGCTATATAAATGAAAAAAGTCCAAAAATGTTGAAAAAAAAATTATTTTTCTCTTAGAAAATTTTGCAAAAATAAATAATCTTTCTTCATAAATCTCAGCCGAAATGTATTCAGTTATATTTTTAGTAAAAAAAAAAAAACCCAAATTAGTTTATAACCAAAAAGTATAATTTTTCAAAAAAATTTTATTCTATTTTTTTATATCATTATTTATGTTTTTTTAAAACATACTGTACCCTAGGAGTACAGTGCTACCATAGTGACACTGTACTACTTGTGTGGGGGTGATGGAGTTTTTTTTTTTTTTCAACACTGATTTACACCCTTAAAGTCTATAAAAGCAATAATTTCTCCTTCTCTCTGGCTGCATTCCTGCAGCCATTGAGAAATACTGTGTGAGCTGTGATTGGTCACAGCTTGTCACATGGTACAAGGCTGTTGTGAATGGCCCTGTACCATGTGATCTCGGTGATCATTCACAGATTTCACAAGTAGTAAGCAATGATGTCAGAAGTGACATATTGCTTACTACTATTCATGTGATCACTGATTGGCCAATCACTGATCACATGATTGGGACCTCACACAGAGGTTCCATACAGCGATTGGTGTTCCGCTGTGTACTCCGGACACAGTGGGCACCAATCGTGGTGCTGTGCGCTCCCAGGGAACGCACCGTTTATGAATGGCATCCCGCTCCTGCACTGCTCCCTTCCAGCCGTTTATGTACATGGGCCGGACGGGAAGTGGTTAACATATATTTTTACATAAATACTTTGTATTGGATATATTAAAGTTGTTTGGTGATTGTATAATTTTCTTTTGATACACCTTTAGACTGCCTCGGCGGTTGAAATCTCTTCAAAAATCCTCCCTGAAGAAGCCCGTGAGGAGCGAAACATGTAGGGAGTAACTACAATTATATAATCAAGTTTGAATCTCAGTTCCCAACTCTTAGTACTGAAATTGTTTTTATGTTTCTGTATTTTTTCCTTTTTTTGTTTTTATTAAAAAATACGAAAATTAAAATAGCCAAGATTTATGAAGAAAGATCATTTATTTGCAACATTTTATAAGGAAAAACTCACTTTTTTTTCAAAATTTTTGGACTTTTTCATTTATATAGCAAAAAAAATTAAAATTCCCAGCGGTGAATAAATACCACCAAAATAAAGTTTTATCTGTTTCAAAAAAAATGCTAAAAAAATTCATATGTGTTACAGTGTTGCATGACCGCGCAATTGTCATTCAAAGTGTTGATAGCGCTGAAAGCTGAAAATTGGCCTGGGGGCAGGAAGGGGGGGGGGGGAAGTGTCCGGACTAGAAGGGGGGGAGAAGTGCCCGGGACTGGAAGGGGGGGGAGAAGCATCCGGACTGGAAGGGGGGGGAGAAGCATCCTGACTGGAAGGGGGGGAGAAGCGTCATCCGGACTGGAAGGGGGGGGGGGGAAGCGTCTGGACTGGAAGCGGGGGGGGGGAAGCGGTCCGGAAAGCGGAACTGGAAGGGGGGGGGAAGGGGGGGAAAGCGTCCGGACTGGAAGGGGGGGAAAGCGTCCGGACTGGGAAGGGGGGGAAAGCGTCCGGACTGGAAAGGGGGGAAGTGCCCGGACTGGAAGGGGGGGAAAGCGTCCGGACTGGAAAGGGGGGGAGAAGTGCCCGGACTGGAAGGGGGGGAGAAGTGCCCGGACTGGAAAGGGGGGGGAGAAGTGCCCGGACCGGAAGGGGGGAGGTTAGGCACTGATGTTGGATGAGAACACCTAGCTCATTTGTTGAGCCCCACACTGGGCACCAAAAACATGTTTTGTCCACCATCGGTGTTCCAATTTATCCAATGGTGTTTCAGTAGGATTGATGGAGGTCAGGGCTCTGTGCAGGACACTTGAGTTCCTCAACACGAAAATTTGGTCAAACCATGTCTTTATGGAGCTGGTTTTACTTTCTTCTGGAAAGGCTTCCAACAAACATTTTGGAGTACGTCTGTGGGAAATTTGTGTCCAATCAGCCAAAGGAACATTTATGAAGTCACATTCTGATGTTGGAAGAGGAGACTTGGCTCACTATCAGTCTTCCAATTCATCTCAAAAGGTGGTCGGTAGGTTGAGGTCAGGACTCTGCACAGGACACTCAGGGCCTCCATGTCTTTAGGATACTTGGGTTTTTCCACATCAGGGGACCAGTCAAAAAGAAAAGGGTCTTCACCAACTGGTCCATGTACTTTATGGAGCTGGCTTTGTACACAGGGGACAGTCATGGGGGAACAGAAAAGGGTCTTCACCAAACTGGTCATCCATGTCTTTATGGAGCTGGCTTTGTACACAGGGGACAGTCATGGGGGAACAGAAAAGGGTCTTCACCAAACTGTTACCACAAGGCTGGAGAGCACAATTACCTACAGTGTCTTTGTATGATGGAGTATTACCAGGAACCCTTCACTAGAATTAGCTAAATTTAACAATTTGGGGAGTGTCCAGATACTTTTAGTCATAAAGTGTATTTTTTTTATCTCTACCCCAGTTTGTTTACCTAGAAACTGTTGTTATGAGATGTTCACTTGTTCAGTATTTTTTTTTTATTTGTTTTTTTTTTTTTTAGGAACATTCAATTGAATAGGTTAGAAAAAAAAAAATCTTCTCTAATTACGTATACCGCTCATTTTCTTTCCCTGGCCTTCTCTATAGCCATGATCCCGACCCTTTGCCAAATGAAGCTGTCATGTTTGTGTGGGGGTTAGCACAGAGTGGCTCCTCAGATGTCTTTAGGCTCCCCATTAATGGTCATACACACAGTAAGGTCTAGCAATCAAAATACTTTTTTCTATCATATTTTATTTTGCAAAAATTATCAAATAGTTTTAGGCCAAGTACCATCAACATATTTGGTGAAGCCTATTACTGTCAAGATATTTGGTGAGGCCACACGCAATCAACATATTTAGTGAGGCAAAGTACTGACAAGATATTTGGTGAGGCCACATACCATCAATATATTTAGTGAGGCAAAGTACTGACAAGGTATTTGGTGAGGCCACGTACGGTCAACATATTTGGTGAGGCAAAGTACAGGCAACATATTTGGTGAGGCCAAGTACGGTCAAAGATATTTGGTGAGGCCAAGTACGGTCAAGACATTTGGTGAAGCCTAGTACTGTCAAGATATTTAGTGAGGCCACGCCATGACACCACCACCACTACCAGCCTGAACTGTTTATACAAGGCAGGATGGATCCATGCTTTCATGTTGTTTACACCAAATCCTGACCCTACCATCTGAATGTCGCAGCAACCAGTCTGCCCATTCTCCTCTGACCTCTAACATCAACAAGGCCTTTTCCTCCACACAACTGCCGCTCACTGGATATTTTCTCTTTTTCGGACCATTCTGTGCAAACCCCAGAGATGGTTGTGCGGGAAAATCCCAGTAGATCAGCAGTTTTTGAAATACTCAGACCAGCTGGTCTGGCACCAACAACCATGCCACGTTCAAAGTCACTTAAATCCCCTTTTTTCCCCGTTATGATGCTCGGTTTAAATTTTAGCAAGTCGTCTTCGCCACATCTACATGCCTAAAAGCATTGAGTTGCTGCCATGTGATTGGTTGATTAGCAATTTGTGTTACCAAGCAATTGAACAGGTGGACCTAATAAAGTGGCTTGGTGAGGTCAAGTACAGTCAACGTAGTTGGTAAGGCCACGTACAAGCAACAAATTTGGTGGGGCTAAGTCCCTTCAGTATATTTGGTGAGGCAAGGTACTGTCAAAATATTTGATGAAGTCAAGAACTGTCAACATAGTTGGTAGGGTCAGGAACAGGCAGCATAATTGGTGAAGCCACATAAGTCAACACCTTTGATGAGGCCACGTACAGCTAACATATTTTGTAAGGACAAGTGCTATCAACTTATTTGCTGAGGTCATGTACCATCAACACATTTGGTGAGGCCAAGTACAGTCAACATAGTTGGTAAGGCCAAGCACAGGCAACATAGTTGGTGAGGCCAAGCACAGGCAACATAGTTGGTGAGGCCAAGCACAGGCAACATAGTTGGTGAGGCCAAGCACAGGCAACATAGTTGGTGAGGCACAGGCAACATAGTTGGTGAGGCCAAGCACAGGCAACATAATTGGAAGCCAAGCCACATACGTCAACACATTTGGTGAGGCCAAGCACAGTCAACATAGTTGGTGAGGCCACAGCACAGGCAACAGGTAACTTGTTGGTGAGACCAAGCACAGGCAACATAGTTGGTGAGGCCAAGCACAGGCAACATAGTTGGTGAGGCAAAGCACAGGCAACACAATTGGTGAAGCCAAGCACAGGCAACATAATTGGTGAAGCCACATACGTCAACACATTTGGTGAGGCCAAGTAGAGTCAACATAGTTGGTGAGGCCAAGCACAGGCAACATAGTTGGTGAGGCCAAGCACAGGCAACATAGTTGGTGAGGCCAAGTACAGCCAACATAGTTGGTGAGGGCAAGTGCTGTCAAATCATTTGGTGATGACAAGCACCATCAACAAATTTGGTGAGGTCAAGTACACCACCATATTTACTGGTGCCAAGTACGTCAACATATTTGCTCCAGCACATAACCAGCATATCAATGAAAGTTCCCCTCTAGATTTGGAGCCCGATCTCCAGAAATGACTCTTGTTCTAGCTAGACAGGGAACCCCACATGATTCCCCAGCATTGTGCTGGATCTAGCACCAGTTGCACCAGTCAGTCAATGGCAGGCTTTGGTTCAGGATAGAAGCCTTGACTGTGTGATGGGTAACAGCCGCTCTGGCATGATCTCTGTAACAAAATTATTTGCAAAAACAGTGAGAACTTGCCACGTAGAGAGGAATGGGTGATATTCCCCCCGTGTGACGGGACCTCATCAA